TCCGACTTCCATGGGCTTGTCTGAGGGTTTATCAGGGTTTAGGATTTAGGGTTTAGGGTTTTAGGGTTTAGGGTTCAGGGGTTGAGGGTTTAGGGTTTAGGGGTTTAGGGTTTAGGGTTTAGGGCTAAGGGCTAGGGGTGGTGGTCTTGTTTAGCGTGGCTCACCGTTCGGGTGGAATGGGGGTGCTTTGCTCAGAATGGGCTTTCGGTTCCAAAATGATTCGGGTCTGATCAAAGGGAAGCGCTAAACCCTAAACCCTAAACAGGAGTCATTTTCCTTGGGGCGGCTTTGGAGTTTTGTTGGCGCGGCTCTGCCCTCCAGGATTCTGATGCAGGTTTTAAGAACCCAGACACCGGTAATGTAGGGGCCTTAATACTTGGAATAGGCTTTTGGGGCTCATTATACTTTAGTTGTAAGTTCCTAAACCCTAAAACCCGAACGGGTCGGGCAGGTCTAGGAACCCGAAAGTGCCACCGACATCTTTGCAGGCCACCTTTCTCTGCACCTCGAAGCTGCCAAGAAACTTGCCCTAAACCCTGCCCCAAGGGTCCAAAGCACCCAATAATCAGGTATTTAGGTTTCGGATAGTAGTTGTGTAGGTTACTACTTGGGAGAGTATATGATTATCAAGTACTTGGACCCTGAGGGCTGTACATCAAAGAGTCGTAACTTAGGACGTCTGAAGCAGATAGAGACTGTTGTGGGGCCTTGCGCCCATCTTTGTGTAAGATACTGTATTGTCTGCTGTCCTAGCCTTGCATTCATTTCTGGACTTGTCAACAGCCTGAACAGCCTTAAGGGGTGTTAGATCTTCTTCGGCGTGTACAGTGTGCAGACTCGATAGAGACATGGGAGTCATGTCTTAAACCAAGATGCGAGGGTTTAGGGGGTTTAGGGTATGGTGCAACACCCTCAAGGCGCGGTAAAGACACTGGGATGCCATACTGCGTATGCCAGCAAGCTTCTGTGCCAGTGCCAGTAGCATTCTTCACTGCTACGATGATGTGCGTATACTATACTCTATTCTACAGTAGTACAACTGGACTAGAGTAACGATAGCAGTTGTCTAGAATAGAACCCTTGACCCTAAACCCTAAACTAGTTTAATGTACTATAGTCTAAGTGAGCTTGTGTGGGCACTGCGGGGATCCTCTGGGGTGAAGTCCAGGGATTTTGTAAGAGGATTCGTATGGGGTTCCGCGAGGCCGGGCGTGGAGTAGACCGGAGAATAGCTGAGGGTCTAGGGTTTAGGTTCAAGGGAGTGCGGGCGGCAAATCATAAATCTACAGCACCTGTGTAGGGCCATAAGGAACCAGAAACCTAATTGATATGACTGCTACTACGTAACAGAGCCCAATACCATTCTGAGTTGAAATCATAAACTGGAGGCATACTACTATGAAGACCCCCTAAACCCTAAACCCTAAACCCATCACCCCTGCAATCGCTCTCTGAGTGTAACCTCTGCTGCCTTCGTAGTGGCCAGGACACTTGATGGCACTAACATAGGCGCCCTCATCGTCGAAACCCTGAGCGGTGGGGGGAGTGGCAAAGAAAAGGTCTCTGTGGCCGCCACCACTCAATTTCGGGAAGAAGGTTTGGTGGTTAAAGTTCGGAGGTTTAGGGTTCAGGAAGTGGGGCGTATAAGATTAAAGCGCCAAACCATAAACCGCATCATTAGGTGAACGCATCGGGTTTGGGTTCCTGGGTTGTCGCATTCCTGTTCTTCTGCTATGGATTCTGTAAAGCTTTCATACTTAGTCGAGGGTCTCCCTAAAGGGTTCCTTGAAGGTGCCTACAAGAAATCCATAAGGGTTTTATGCTGAAGGAAATGAATGAGATTGGAGGATCTTCCGGGTCATAGTCGGTTCCCCTGTTTCGGGTTTGGGGTTTAGGGTTTAGGGTTTAGGGTTTAGGGTTTAGGGTTTAGGGTTTAGGGCTTAGGGTTTAGGGTTTAGGGTTTAGGGCTTAGCGTTTAGGGTATCTCTGAGGAACAACTTCTACAAGTCATTTAGGGGCCTATGTTACACATTCGTAGCTCCAGAGAACGCGAAGCCAGCTCATTGGGGGCCAAAGCGTCTGTGATGCCTCGTGAAATATTAATTGCTAATCTTTCAGGCTTCTTTTTATACCAAGGTAAAGCCGATTGAACCAAAATTCATGTCTTTTTGGGGTCTCTGGCTGAGGGTTTGGGGTAAAGGGTATAAGTCTGTAGAAAGGGTGCATGTGCCTGTCTGAAAAGGGGGCTGCCTACATTGCTGGTAGAATGCTTGCAACACTCTGCTACGGCGTTCTGGGTGTCGCAGGCAGGTATGTTTGGTCCGAGAACCCGTCTTACACCCTAGACCTAAACCCTAAACCCTAAACCCTAAACCCTACTGTAAACCCTAAACCCTAAACCCCAGCATCAAGCACGGAGCCCCAAACATCCCCGGACCCCTTGACATCCCACACTGCGCATCCAAGACCCCTGCCCACTTGATGTGCTTGCCCATGCCGGCGACTTTCAGGGACTCACCAGCAGTGCCAGCCTGCAGATCTGTGGCCGTTGACCCTAAACCCCCAACCCTAAATCGTAAACCTCAACCCTAAACCCTAGACATCGTTCTTGAGATTTCAGGTCCCCACCCTAAACCCTAAAACGGCATTGACAAGTTCATACATTAAATGCATGGGGAAGGGAGTCTGATAGCACGTCGCCCCTGAACAAGAGGCTCAGGGTTCTTGAAGAGATCATGACTGCTATCCTAAGCCACAACATCTAAACGCCAAGTGCCTTGGACCTTTTAGGGTAAGCTCTTGATTTTTTAGGTCAGCGGATTTGGCCAGGAAGGCTGTTGAGGGTACAGTTTTTCTTGGCTGTGCCATTTGTCTGTTTATTTATGCAACTAAATACATGCAACATGTACATACAGACGTACATACATGCATGCAAACATATCTAACTACATGCCTGCATTGACATACATAGCCCGACATGGCCCGAAGCCCTGAATCACAAGGGTGGTGATCTCGCCCTCCTGTGCCGGTGGTTTCCAAAACCGGGCAGGGGACTTTCGCTGACAGGGTCTGTTTTTGAACGTGTGTAGGACGCAGTACGATTTAGGTTTAGGATTGACGGTTTGGAGTTCAGGCAAAATCCAGACCGCGACCCTTAACCTGTAAGGTACACCCTCACATCGGTGAGAGGCTTGACTCAAAGGCAGACGTTGGGGGGGGGACAGGGTAGTCCTAAACACTTAGGATTCAAAACTCTTAACCCGAGCTCCTAAACCCGTGCCCCGACCCCAGACAAACCTGTACCACCTGAATGCACAAAGTCTGCTGTCTAAAGCCGAAACCCTTAACGCTGGCTTAAGCAATCCGTACTAGATCGTTGAAGGACCCTCTAGAATCCTGAAACCCATGTACCCAAAGAGTATATACATTGGCGTCAAAGTACCTGTAGAGGGAGTACTTTGAGACCAAAGTCTATAATATTTGGGCACATGGACCCCCTTAAGAGGGTTAGAGTCTCGAGTAGATTTCTGGATCCCGAAGCCAGGTCACAACTGGTGCTAGCAGCTTGGCGCCCGAGAGCATCTCCTTCTCCTGAAGGGGGTAGAGTTGAGAGCTAACTCCCTAAACCCTAAACCTAATTGTACGGTTTGGGGTTTAGGGTGCCCCCCAAACCCTAAACAGCTCGAGATTTTCGGAAGCTCCAAGTGGAACCAAATGAGTAGACATGCATAGCGGCTTTTAGATCAAGTGGGGTGCGAGCTATACAAGGGCCTCGCTTTTCGCTGCATGAGCCTATACACTCTATCCCCCTAAACCGCAAACCCTAAAATAAACATCCTGTATCTTACAGCCAGGATAGAGGTGTAGGGTCACGTGTGCACAATTGGGGATCCCCCGTTTCCACTGCTTGTAATGCATATCCCTAACCCATGATCCTTATTACTCCTCTTGAACTGACGCTGCGACTGGACCACTCAAACGATATCAACAAGCTGCTATGTCCCCAAAATGTTCGAATCTTAGCCCTTCGCCACTTCTGATAAGGAGAAGCGTCCGTTGGTGGTCTTGAGTTTTCACGATTCATGTCTGGACTTAAGTTAGTGGGATATAGCGCTTCAACATAGATGTAGGCTTAGGGGCCTATGGATACGGGTGCAGAAATCCGGCGTGAAGATTTCGGGGTGCACCGAAGTTCATTGTGGCTAGGGTTTACGGCTTAGGGTTTAGGGGTCGATTTTTTGGTCGATCAGTTTTATATCAAAGGATCCCAACCATACAACATGAAGTACCAAAAGAGGAACAATATGGAGACTGTGGGTACCCCCAAACCCAAACCCCGATAGTAACCTCAAAGGACCCTTAAAATAGATCCCTTATAGAAGCCTTTAAAGGAAACCCGTGCAAACTCTCAAGGCCCCTATACTAAGCCAGTAGGAGATGCTATTAACATCCCCCCAAACATCTGTTCAACAAACCTTTCGAAGGAACAAATTGCAACGATCAAAGGCACCTAGTTTAAGGATCAGTGGGCCCTCTGATGCCGAAACTCAGAGCCCTTGCTGACAGGAGCCCTAAACTTTAAACGGGTGCGCTTCACTGTCCCTAAACCCTAAACCCTAAACCCTGAACCCTAAACTCCCTAAACCCCTAAACCCTAAACCCCAAACCCCAAACCCCAAGCCTGTCCTTCTCTTGGAAGGCCTCCCTAAACCCTAAACCCTAAACCCTAAACCTGTCCTTCTCTTGGAAGGCCTCCCTAAACCCTAAACCCTAAACCCTAAACCCCAAATCCCAAACCCCAGACCTGTCCTTCTCTTGGAATGCCTGATACATCTCCATCTCCACTGAGGTGATCGTGGCCTCCTGGGAGCAGCGTGCGTGGGTTCAGGGACTTAGGGCTTTAGGGTTTAGGGTTTAGCGGTTTAGGGTTTAGGGGTTTAGGGTTTAGGGTTTAGGGTTTCAGGGATCTATAGGGTCTTAGGGCTTTTGGGTTCAGGGTTTTAGGGCTGAGGGGTTTAG